TGCTATTTTAAAAGAATACCTCTAGTTACTTTACTGAGAATCATTTCTAGGGAAAGCATGGGGTGAAAGCTATTGCAATAATCCAGAAGGGAGATGATTGTAACTTAAACCAGGTTTGTAACAATTGATATAGTGTAAAGCAGAAGAACCTTGGAATATTTCAGGAGCTTGGATGAATTCGTGATGCGTTGAATGTGTGATGGGGTCATAAAGATGTCTCATTTCATTTTCTCTATCTCCTTTCTAATGAGTTGGTAGGAGTAATTGGTTTGTATCTGTATTGGACTAAGAGACTAGATCAAAAAATATGTCCTTGTAGCTCTAGAACTGAGTAAGCATTAGTATGCTTACATGACATGTAAATAGCTGCAACATGACATAGAAATATCCCTGGGAACTGTTTCTTAGAGTACCAGGAAGAAGAAGCCAAGATTATAGTCACTGGAGCTCACCAATAAACTTCACAAGAAAATTTTCTGCATTTCTTTCTTCATTTATTGTCCTCTAAAGTTTAACATTCTTGGTCTGGAACTGAAATACAACTATACCTTCCTGCCTCTTTCTAAAGAGGTGAATTTATTTTCATATATTGAAGACACACTTTTATTGATTGGTCATTGCTTTGTCTGTACAGTTTCCCCATTTCAGGGACAAGGAAAATTCCAGAACATTCATATACAGCCCATGAGATCTTATGAGAACTATGAAACCAGCTCAGGGCTAAGTGAGGAAGGCTACAAAACTACTTATGGCCCCTGAAAGAGCACTGGATGGAGGGAGGAATAATAAAGGCAAAAAAAGGCTTTCTCTAATATTTATCCCCATTTATACAATAACATAATGATGTTTTAAACACTTTCTCTGTTTGGCTCTATCCTATTCATGCACTATCTCATTTAATCTTCACATTAGCAATCTGAAGAAATTATTTTCCCTTTTTTACTGATAAGTGGGGCTTAGAACAGAGAGTCACTTGTTCTAAGTGTTAGATAGCTGTTAGCACGCTGGGATTCAAATTCTAGTCTTTCAGTTGGAATAGCCCAGATGCATAGTTCTATAATGCTATTCTCCACACACAGCAGTATGCACTTTTGCCTCTATTCCAGTTCACCTGTTCCTGTTCCCTATAGAGAATATTTTTCTAAATACTTTAGTAACTGCTCCTCATAAATGCTTTTTTCCTGAATCACAGCAACTTGGGAAAACTGACATTTTTATGTGGAAAAATAAGGAAGCACAATGTTGTTTGACGGATGGTTGGGTAAGTGTGTTTAAAAATGATAGAACCTTCTATAACTCATGTTTTGATAATAGGAAAATTATAGGGCTTTTCATTTTTTGTTATTTTAATGTATTTAAAGAAAAACACAGAAATTAGAATTGCCACATATTACCACATATGCAAAGGGTGTGAATTATTAAACATACTCATCATAATTTCCACAAGTTGAGAGTACTTTATTCACTAGCTATAAATTTTATATACATTAATTTCTTATATAAACATATTTTTTCACTAATATATATTAAACATACAATTAATGACTTTGTACAGCCCTATTGGGCATTATTCTTCATTCCTGCTTGGCCTGGAGGTAAATCGTTCAAATCTTATTATCTGCATGGCCAGGGTTATGCTTGATGTCCTTAACTTTGGCACACTGTCAAAAGACAAATGGAGCTCAAACTGCTAGGTGTTCAATTATAAGATGTTAAATTGTTTTAAATCTTCTGTTTTTGTGTTTGATGGGATAATTTACCAGACACTAACTACAGGTTTTCTAAGGAAATTATGTATTAACAAAAATCAAATCCAAATTTTGAACTGGCCAGCACTGATTGTTCATTTTTTTGTGTTTGTTAGGTTTTAGACTGAACTGAGCCTCTTGGTATTCTGTGTGAATGTTAAGAGTGGAGGTCCTTTGAAGTCGGGCAGATTTCTGCTTAGAAAAGACTCCGAGTAACTGGAAAAGAACATGAATTTGACTGTTGGGTCAGAGATGTCACTGTCATAAACTTGGGAGGTGGAGTAATGCAATGGTATACCAAACTGCTAAAAAAAAGAAATTAGATCAGTCCTAAGTAACTATTTTATTGCTTTCCATGTAGGAAATTTCAAGGATTTTGTACAGATTAAAAATAAGGAAAATATTTTTATTTAGCCTTTTCTCTTAAAAAGAGAGAACTTAAAATGATGCAAGGATTTTTGATTTTTTTCAGATTCTTTCAAAATATTTTGAATTTTCTGAATATGTAAAACCTAAGATCTTTTAACTGTCTGCCCACTTTTCTGAGTCAGTATTTGCCTGCAAACAATGAAAAGTATTCACATTGAACTTTAACTTCAGAGGGTGGAGTAAATTTTGGAGGCAAATTGTTCTGAACCCTATCAAATAAGAAAACTCTGAAAGATTTAGTTAAAGTGAGTCCCACTGATGCTGGCTTCCATGTGAATTTTCCTATGATTCTCAGCATCAAAATTCAGAGGAGAGTGCTTAACTCATCTTTTTCACTCAATTATTTTCTTATTATTGTTTAGATTTCTGAACTTAAAAATTCTGACATATAAATTTTGGTTTAAAAGCAATGAGTACTAGTAAATGAAGTCCGTTTTCCTTAAAAAAATATTAAAAAGTGGAGGTGTAAACTTGCTCAAAGTGCACCATACACATGAATAGAATCGACACAATGAAATCCCCTATATTACTAATGTATTCTAGCTCAAAAATAAAATAAAAGTAATTTGAAAACATGGAAAAATATGAAAAAGATACTATCTGGACCTTGGGTACTTCTGTCATATTACAAGGGATGATGTTCAGTAAGCAAAGCAACAACAAATCTACTCAAGAAAAAAATCTAAACAAACAAACAAACAAACAAAAAAACGATCAGGACAATATCGTTCCTCAGAAATATGTCAGTGAATTCCCCTGAATTTCCTTATCATGTGTGAAGGACAGTAGTTATGTTTTTCAAAGTATGGTAGTGGAGGCTGACTGCATTAAATTTGAAGGCCAAACTTTACATTCATGTTCTAAGGCAGAACATGGTCCCATGTATCTTGTACGTAATTAAACTAATCTCATGCAACTCACAAATTTAAGAAGAAAATTATACTTGCTTTTATACACTAAATTTTTTTCTTCACACGTTTACATTTGATAAACTTAAAAGTTTTAGAAATGAACATTTCAAACACATTCAAACAATTAGGTATTAAATCATAATAAATTTGCTTGTCTAAAACATGCACATAAGCTTTATAGACAATATTATTTGTGGCAACCCTGTAATGAACACTTACAATTTTAGAATTAATTTTAAATTCAATTTTTGAAGTTGTTACATTCATTATATGACTGTATATGTCTGTACACCCATATATATGTCTGTTTGCTTTTTGGTATCATTAAAAGAAATGCAACTCAAACACATATGACTAGGTTGTTTAGACTTTCGACACTTCATAACAATTAGATATTTCTGGTTTTGGCTTCAAAATAGGGAGGAGGGTTGGAAAATTAATGCCATGACAGTAATAAACCATGATTTGCCTTTGGATAATTGTTTTAATCCTACTCTTCAAAAATATGTTTTGTTCTTATTTTGATGGTGGTGTAACAATCAAGTATTGGAGGTAATTATTTTAGACAATTTTTTAAAAACCTAACAGAATAGTTTAAAGGGAAAGTTTGTACTACACATCTACCTTTTCAGAAAGTTTGTGGTATCTTGAGTAGGATTGACAGTATTCGTAATTTAAGGAAAGATGACTTATAAGGACTGAGGTCTGGAAGATAAATGCTACACTTATAGGTGCTCCTTGTCTTGTTATGGGTCTCAGAAGTTTGCCTATTGTATATGCATGTGTGTGTGTATTATATTTTGTTGTTGTAGTAAAATGGGTGCTTTAGGATCATAGAGATTTGGAATGATCTAAGCAAGGAAAAGAAGTCTCTGTGTAGAAGGGTGTGTAATATACTTTTGATTACCTGGTATTAACTCATATGTATCCAAACTATTATCCAGCTTTCTTTTAAACAAATTGTCTTGCCTTTCTACATCTTGTTTTATTTACTTATCCAGATATTAGCATTTTCAACTACATTTACTTTTGTAATTCTTACTACTTTTTCCTCTAAGGATTTGCACTTGATATATCTCTGATACTTTCCCCTAGCCTTCATTTCTTTTTCAATGAGAGGAGAGGAGAACACGATACAGTTCATAAAATTAATGTATGGAACTTTCTCTTTGGGCTTGAGGGGAGAACCAGCTGCTTTTGAAGCTGGGAGATGCTCCTGTCTACTTCATACCTGTGAATTAATATCTGTAGTTCTTGTTTGAAAACTGGTAGTGAGTAATAGAGGCAAATGTGACTCTTTCCTTCTGCCTTAGAAGCATTTCTAGTGTCTTACAATCTATTTAATTTAAAAAAATCTGTTAAAAATAAAGAGGATGAAAGGAGTTTTCTTTATCCTTTTAAGGTCTTAAATTTGACTACATATTACCTTGGCATTTACTAGATGTACTGGTCAAAATTAAATAATTATTTTTTTTCTTTTGAAGTCACTTTTTCAGAAAAATGATCAAGAGAATGACATATGTACCTAATGACTTGGTTAGATTTCCTTTTCAGTTAAATATCTTGGAGGAAATCTTTAAATGTTTTAAAGTTTTCCTTCTACAAAGTGAGTTTTTTGAACAAAGACTTACATTACTTCTCACTTTTTGAGGTTAATTTCCATCCCTCTTGTGGGAAAATGTGTCAATTAACATTTCCATTTTATAGCTGTAGATTTAAAAGTTTCATTTTACACAGATTTTGTTTCCTTTTACTCACATTACATTAAAGTTTCTTTGATCTTTTGGAAAAACTGTCATTTTACTATCACAAATACACTTTGAAATTTTTAAATGAAAGAAATTGGACACTTTACAAGTATTTTTAGATACATAGTTTTGTTTGTCAATGTAACTTATAGTTTTCAGAAAATAAGTTTAAATTCCATTTTATTTTGAGGGAATCTAATATCTTAGTAGTGTCTTTGTTATATTTATATCTTAATCACAGCTGCCTAAACATTGCCCTTCTGTCTCCAGAGAGTACATAGGACAGGATCAATACACAGAATAATGGGGACTATACAGGTACAACAATGACTTCACTCTAATCTTTCACCTCAGGAAGTGGATTTAAGAATATTCATCCACAGAGGTATGGGGTGAGCTTATGAAACTTGAAGTGGTGGAGGCAGATTTGGAATTCCTGCGGGAGCAGCCATTGAAGTTTGGGTCCCTTGGTGTTGCTCTCTTTTTCCGACTGGATTTGATGTTGTTTGCATCACTGTGGTCAAACACCACTGTCATGGATTCCATCCTGGTCATAGTGTACAGGCTGCTTTGCCGAGTTGGGTGGAACCTGGTGGACTTGAGCTCCAGCTCATCATAGCTAGAGACTTGGATGAAAGGACACCAGCGAAATGCTCTCTTGAAGCCAGCTCGAAATCTGAGAAAGCAGACCACAGAAAGAAAAAAAATTTCAAGTGGACATTTCCTTCAGCTGCCACAGAAAACCTTACTTAAGGCGGTTAAGCAACAATGTTTTTGAATTTGATTTTCTACTCAAACTTAGATTCTCTGCTAAAGAATTAACATTAGTTCTTTAAGTTATTGTTTAAATAGAACCTTAATTTCTATCAGCAAGAATTGTGTCATCAAATAGCAAAAGCACAGCATGAGGGTATCAATTGCCAAAGAAACGGTACCTTCTTGCAGTAATTTTATACATTTACATGAGTATAATTGCATTAGGATAGCCAGTTAAGGCACTTGAAATGAAATGCTGTATTTCAAAATAGCTTCTCCAGAAATAATTCACATTTATAAAGTCTCATTTAATGTTAAAATTAATTGTTAATATTAGTGGTTCTTATATAATTACATATGAAAGTGTGAAATCCTTTTCTTTCTTTATGAACCATGGAATGAAGTTGATTAAAAGAAGATGTACTGCTTGTGGGGTGGCTTAAATTGAGATATGGCTTATGCAATTAGTGAAAAAGAGTAGGAGTTAATTAAGTATTTAGCACATTTAGAGCCTCCACTGGGAAGACAGTTTAGGATTTAGATTACATAGTTACTTACAGAAAGAACCATTTCTACTAGTACATAAAACACATTGTTTTATTAGGGGAATTGTCATCCTATAAAATTTAGCCTACTCCTCTATGTTGAACACACAATCAAGGTATTTTTGTCCAGAAACTACATTTTACTATTTTACTCTTAAATTTGACTATACCCCTACTTATAAAAAACAAGAACAACAACCAAACCAACCAAACAAAAACTTTATAAATAGCTTCCCCTTGACTGTCCCAACTTGTTCCCAAGTCATCCCAGGTGGAATTTGTACCCTTTCTTAAACACGGGACCCTGCTCTGCAGGAAGGACTGTAGTTCTGCTTGTCCTTACTGTTCCACCACTGGCTTACAGAAACATCTATGTTGAAGTCTATTTACACGATATCCTTTCTAATAGAGTTCACTCCTATACACAATCATCTCTCCCTCTACATTTTTAGGAAGAGCTCTCATTTCTTTAAGGATCTGAGTACATTTTTAATTCAACATCTCAAGTCATGAGGGCATTTCTTTTTCTTTAGCAGATAAAATTCTGAAGAGTTTGAAGGGAGAAGTTGGCCCAAATAAAAATTACTTAGACCCTCGAAAAACATTGTATGTGTATGTAAGTTTTAACGTACATTTTGTAAAGTAGTGACAAGTCTTAAAAAATCAATCTCTGTGCTGCTTTTGGTGAATTTTTACATTCTCCTTATTTCTGTTTTTTAAATTAGTGCCAAGAAACTAGAACAATATGTGCTCTAATGAAGGTAGGAATGACAAGAAACTTGCATTTGGAAGTTTTGTTTTTACCTCTTATTCAGACAGCAGTAGATGATGGGGTTGTACATGGTTGAGCTCATTGCCAGCCAAAAGCTAGCCAGATAGACCTGCTGGATGTATTTCCATCTATTTAGCTGTTGATAGACTGCAGTAAGAATGAAGTAAATATGGTAGGGAAGCCAGCAGATGGCAAATGTCACCACGACAATAATCATCATTTTTACCACCTTGAAAGAAAGAAAGAAGTCACTTTTGGGAAATTTAAAAGTCATTAAATACAAGAGTATCAATAGCTTACAGAAATCATATTTTTCTGCCAATATAGTTAAATGCATAAAATATACAGCATGTCTAATAGTCTGAGGAAATATCACTAACTTTAAGTCTATAAATAGGAAACTGGCTTGTATATCTGCTTTGTATATCACCTGTTATGAGTTTGGTAAACATAGATCATTTTCTTTAATTCCATAGCTTTGAATCTTAATATCCTAGAAGGCCCTGGAGAAATAGACTGTCAACTTCTATTTCTCCTTTACTTGTCCTTGAATTTCTGAAAGGCACAGAGAACCCAGAAATATAACAGTCTCTAGTTTATAGTGTAGATAAATAAATAGATATGGGATTATGAATGAGGAATGATGACATATAATTTCTAACAGGAGGTTTAATGGGGGACGTCTTATATATTTCTGAATGAAATAAAATCTCTTCAATTTTCTGTCTATAAGAAAGGTAGAATCAAAGGTACTAAACACCGAGCAGTGTGACTTTGTTATACAAGAGAATTGAAATAACATTATCTGATTATCTCTTTTAATATTTCCTATAATTAATCAGACTCCTAAATTTGTTCACACATCTTAAGAAATTTTGAATTTATAAAAAGTTTAGAATGAGAATATTAAACAAAACAATTTTAAGGGTTACCAGCAGTCAGATTAACACAAATCAGACAAAACCATGATATAAGGCCCATGAGGTATCTTAGTACTAGGAAAATACATTATTTATAAGACAGACTTGTCATTTGACTGCAAGTTGTAAATTTCAATGAAAGATGGCAAGGTTAAGAGGCATGAGAGACATTATTTTAGAAACAGACAAAGCATGAAATGGATCAATGTGGAAGGCAAAGCTTCCCTTAGGGCCTAAACAATGTACCATCCAGGTGACTGGTATTGAACTGATGGAAATTAACCATCAGAGCAGAAAATCCAGGCCAACAGCTCACCGAATGTTATCACTGGGCTCACCATGTAAAGTCGTTTGATTTTTTTTTCTCAGTGTTCTTTTCAGTAGAACTGCATTCATATTTCTGCACTTTGTCTCACGTGTCTTATTGGCACACTTGTGGACTCCATGTCATAGTTATACCTTGATTTAGATTTATGCAACATGGTACCTATATTTAACAACTTATTGTCTTTCAATTGCACATTAGGAAACTGGGGCAAAACCATTTGACCACTGTGATTCATCAGATAACTTCTTCTGGAGAAGACGTTTTTGTCGTTGTTTTGGTTTGTTTTCTTGAAGTGCTAGATTTTGAGCCCAGGGCCTGTGCACAAGCCAGGTTAATTCCCAAGCCCAAAGTAAAGGTCTTTAAAATGCAGACTCTTAAATCTTCTTTGTTTTATTCTTATAGTTGAAAACATTTGCTGAATATCAGTTGGGTCTAGAAAATAATATGATAGAGGAACAATTCCTTGCCCTAAAGCTTACAATATAATGAAAAAAGTGATAAAAATATTTGTAAAAATGCATAGACATGTGCTGAGTACAAACGTCTATAAATTGAAAATAATATTTATGAGAATGTATTTGTTGTAATAAAAGGATGACTGAATGCATGCATGTTAACTACAGGCTTTTGAGATAATTAGAGAGAATGAAATGACTTCTATTGACATTATTAGTCTTGATTATGAGAATATTCTACTATTCCTTGAGCAGCAGAGGTAATCTTCTGCCTCAGATTGTTCTCTGTGGCTCCTCCCATTCTCTAGAGCACTCTTCTACTAGTTATTCCCACTGTCTAATTTCCTCATCTCCTTTAAGCTTTTGTACAATAGTCAATTCTTTCATGACTCCTGTTTTAACAATTTATTTAGTATCCTAAGCTACCTTTCTAGCACAATCACAATTCCCTAACTTTTTCCTTGTTTTCATTTATCTATATTTTCTTTTTACTTTGTATCTCCTGGTGCTATAACATAAAAGATCAAGACTTTTCTGCTTTTGCACACTAATGCATTCCAGGTATGTAGACTGAACTGATACACGTAGGGCACTCAAAAACTTTAAATAAAAGGTTGAAAATGAATATAAAATGAAAGAAATTAAAAGACAAGTAAGTGGTGAAGCAATTTCCAGGATTTTAACAGTCATTAGCTACAGGTATCATTTTTTTCTCTAAGTTTAAATGGGAATGTGTACAAAATAAGCATGCCATTTTCTGCCATTTCCTCTTTCTGGCAAATAAATTCAGGTGAAAAGAATGAGTACAAAAATATATGCATATGTCTTTTAGATATATGAGAGCATGAAATTCTGAACTTCTGAATAAGTTAAGAACAAGTAAAGTATCTGTGAACACAGAATTAATTTGAATCCTTTCATACAGACCCAAATTGTCTATACATGAAATTATTTTCCAATAATACTGAAAACCTACTAAGGTTATTAGTCTTTTTAAATGGTTTCCAGCCATCAATGAAGAAAAAATTAAAATACACGTGGAGAATGGAGTAAAGGTTTCAAGTAACTTATAATTCACATATATAGGGTTATTAGACCTTCTTTAAAAGGATTTAGAAATGTACTTCAATATTTGTAGGAAAAACCAAAGAGACCCTGGGAGAAAGGCACTTCTAAAGTGAAATAAGCATTATATTTTATTCGTTTCTATAAAATACTGTTACCTTAGTTCTCTGCTCAAAACTTTGTACAAATTTGAAATGCCAAACTTTTGGGAACTTAATACAAATGGTACTTGGGTAGGAGAAATTATTTTGCTTTGTGAAACACTAAAATAATAATAAATACCACAATAATAAAATACTGAGGAAATGTACTCTTCAAAGCACAAAGTTTGAACAATGATAAGTGTGCAAATTCAGTGAGCACTTACCACTGTGTTGCAGGGTTGGATCACAGCTCTAGCACAGAAGGTTATAATGCTAAGCAGTACAGACAATCAGCTGGCAGAGTCCTGAAGCTCTTGAGAGTTTTAGGCACAATGAGAGTTTGGGGTAGAGAAGATTCAAATATTTCATCATGTCTTAACAAATTTTATGTATTGTAACTGGATTTAAAAGTTGATTGATGTTGAGTATTTCTTAAAGCTCAAAGATGTATCTTGCTTCTGAGGCAATCATAAGGCAGCATGTATGGCTGTGGCCACTCATTGTCCTTAGTACAGGAAATTATTAGCAGGAGGGGAAAGGGAGCTGGTGACAATTGATGTAGTTCTTACAAAGTTGTGGTGCTTGTTTTTAGTAGTTAAGAATTCACTTTAACCACATAAACAGGATTGAAATGTATATCATATGTTAGTGAGAGTAAGCTTTGGATAGCTTTTCTTTATGTATTAAAGGGGAACTTGTGCTGGTTAGGCTGAAATGCCTGCAGCTATTCTTATCTATCATCTTCAGTTAGAGTAGGATGGATGATTTTGAGGCTTATGTCAAAAAAGAATTAGTCTAAGGTATTAAACAAAATACTGCCAACCATTAAAAAATCCAGGTGCCATTTTCTTCAGTATAGTATTTATTCTTTCTAATATATGAACTAGAAAGGGTCAACCCTGTTGACATGTAACTTCTTGCTTTGATTAAAATCTTCTCAGAGCATGTGATTTAAAGAACCATCTGATGGACTATATTCTACCATGCCTGTGTACCTGTACTCTGCATAAGTGTACTCAAATGGACCAATGCATTTCATTAATGAAAATTACAGGCCTGCTTATTTTAATCACAAATTATTAAGCTAAAACAATGCCCTTAAGTGTAGATTATAGCAAAATGTTAATAAAAGCACCTAAATTTCAAATACTTCTTTATGAGCTATGTAAGATTGACATTTCATACTATAGTTACAAAGACTATGCTTAAGAATTTCAGTCCCAAGGGAGAAAATATGAACTTACTAATACCTGTGGAAACAGTGTAGGGTGGCCAGAGGATGTACTGAATTTTGCCAGTAATTTTAGGTTCTGGTGAGAATATAGGCATATTCTGTTACTGTCATCCAAGAAATTGGACATCATTATCAATTCCAATGAGCATATACATCCAATTAACATTAGCCCACAATAATGCCTACTTGAAATTATGGGAAATCCAAACAAATGAGAAAAACTATGTGTACATACATGCAAATAAAGAAAGTGCATGTGTGTTGTGTTTGTAATCTATTTCTTTATGTTTGTTAGCCACATTTCATTTTTAATGTTATTTTATTTATCTACTGGAAACTTAGATTTTAAGAGTCAATATAAGATTTTTGGCTTCATTAAACCAAAGAAAAGGATTTAGCTATAAAAAAGAGAATACGGGTGGCATTAGGAAAGTGAGTAATTTAAAGCAGAGAGAATAAAGACTGATTTTTATGGGATCAAGAAAATAAATGAGATGTAAAAATACAGAGGTTTGTTATGATCTGAATTGTGTCCCCTACAAAGTCATATGTTGAGTTTCAAGTACCCAGTACCTCAGAGTGTGACTATATTTGGTCTTAAAAGAAGTGATTCAGTTAAAATGTGGTTTCAGAATGGGCCCTAATCCAATAACTTCCTTTTAAGCACAGATTACACACAAAGGGAAGACCATGTAAAGACAAGGAGAAGCTGGCTCTCTTTATGCTAGGGAGAGAAAGCTCAGAAGAAACTGACACTGATGCTACTTTTTTTCTTGGACATCTAGCCTCCAGAATTGTAAGAAAGTAAACTTTGTTATTTAACAACCCAGTCTGTGGTGTTTTGTTGCCCTAGTAAACTAATATGGATTTGGTAATGAGGAGCAGGGTTATACAGTAACAAATATTTAGAAATATGAAGGAAGCTTTGGAACTAGGTAATTGGTACAGGCTGAAAGAATTTTGAAATGTAAGAAAAAAATATAAGAAAAACCTAGAATGCCTTGAAGACAGATGCCTTTTAGACAGGTGAATTCTAGTGAGGGCTCAGGAAGAAAGAAGAAGAGTAGAGAAAGATTTTATGGTA